TGTTTGCATTTTAAAATTTGCAAGTAGGTTTTTGTTCAGCATTTGCTCTATTTGAGCGGCGTCTCTAAGACACACCCTTCAAATAGTCTTACAGATGACTGCTGTCACGAATAGTACTTATATACCTTCTCTGAACTCTTTCCCATCAACTGTTCCATCTGGTCCCGAGGTCTAGTGTGCTGACTCTCCTGGATTTTTTAGAAAAGAAACATTCCAATTGCTCAGAAGCTTAAACATTGCATAAAACATGAGCAGCTGTGCCAGTTGCTAGGATGGCTCATTTAAATATACCTATTCCAACGGTCTTAAATCCAGTAGCTGCAAAGGTATCAAAAAGCGGCACTTTCCTGGGAAGGGGGAGTTCTTGCTTGAAATTTGTCTGGTGGTTTAGGCAAATTAGCTGTTCCTGTGCTTTCTTGCAATGTGTCTTTCTATATTTATAGAAAATGATCTCTCCAAACCAAGCTGCAACTACAGCAGGAGATAGGTAATTAGCAGGGAAAGATGGTGAATCAAAACAGTTAAAGACCTTTGGATTTTGTTTGTTTGTTTACTACTCCATGAGCACAAAAGTCACCAAATAGGGCAGAGGTGGACAATGGGTAGACAGTATAGTAAACAGAGGAAGAAAGGTTTGTACACTGTCCTCTTGGCTACCATAAATTTCACTGAATGAGTTGTAATATTCCTACTTTCAGAAATGTTAGCAAAGATTGCTGGATGCTGGATCAGCCCTGTGCCATATTCCATTAGTATGCCTTCCTTTTCAAGTACTGGAGTTGGATAATCATGGTATAGTAATTCATTGTGATTAGACACTACAGCTTCCAAACACCCCTTTCTTCCTTCCCACCCTGGTGTTTTCCCTTCTAGAAAAAACTTATGCCGGAAGAGCAGGGAAGGTGTCAGTTCTCGCAGATTTATTTTTTGCATCTTTTGGAATCCAAATTGTTAATATATCTTCTGTCTGATTCAAATTCAATCTGGAGGAGTACCACTTATTTGTCCATCTTCCACATCTGCTCAAGTCAGTTGGAGTTGGAGTTGATTCAGTGTAGATCTAAATCTAAAGCACACCTATACTAAATAGAGAGAAATTAAAATAAACTGATTGGGATGCATGTTTTTTTCAGGCTAACATTATCTCACTTCTGAACATGGGAAAGAGCCTTAGTTTTGATGTTTCATTTCTGACTCTGTAGCTACCAATGTAGGGAAACATAAGATTAAATTGTGGAATACCAGTTAAACAATTAAACATTGGTCCCTTCTAATGAATTTTTGTAATTGCTTTAAATAATATGTAATTTTTATTTCAGTTAAATTAATTGTGGACCTTTGCAGAAAATGGCCTTTTTAACAACCCACAACTCAGTTTTATTCAAATTATTTTTGAGGACTTTCTAGAAGTGAGATTCAGACAACTGAAGAGATGCCTGAACCAAGTGCCTGAACCAAGTGAAAATACTCATATTTCTAAGCCTTTGACATGCTGTACAAGTAATATAAAATGCAATATAAAGGCAAACCTGATGTCAAACTTCATATCTTAAAATATGTAATTTGTACATGTACAGAGCTGTTCTTGGCAGTTATTTAAGGTGCTGTGCAAGAACATGAAGCTTTTTCTTCTGCTTTAGCCAAATGTGGAAAAAAATCAGATCATTCTAATGCTTAAAGAAGAAAGAAGTCAATTTCGTTTTAAAATTATCCTGGGAGAATTTGATGGACAATTCTATTTTACAATAAATTAAGCAACTGAACTAAGTTTAGCCTTTGTTCATCTGCCATATTCTAACCATGTTCCCTTTAATGGCAAACCCTTTCTGATTCAATTTCCAGTTCTCCTTATTTTAATGTCCTTTTTTTAAAAGTGATGATTGTCTTCATCAAATAGTTTTTCCTCAGCCTTTCTATATCAATGATGCTTATAATTCTGACAGTTCTGCTTCCAGTATTACTTATTCTGAGTGGGATTACATATTTCACCAAAGTGGACAAAACCAAATTTATTATTGGATGAAGGTTGAGGAGTAGGGAACTGTTTTAAGACAGCATTCGCCTTAAAAAAAAGTAATTGGGCCAAATTAACTTCAGATAAATTTAGCTGTTTGCTGAATTATGGACATTTCAGATTCTTTTCCCTTTTTAACATAAGGCATCTTTTTAAAATGCCTGTAAAAGGTTTATATAATGTGTATAAAATGATTTCTTGTGCAACAGTCAAGAGTGTAGAAAGATATACCGTCAATTGAAACAAAGTAGTACCCAAATGTTACTTTATTAATAGCAATCTGAGTTAATGCTCAGTTATATCTGAATTTCCTCTCTCCATCTATGTATTCTCAACTGAGTTCAGCTTCTGTAGCTAATGATAGTTCATTTACTGCCTTCAAATGAATCAGTTTGATTCCCAGTACACATGTTTGTGTGTAACTTACATAGAAAGATTACTTCTTCAAAAAATCAAGAGTCTGCCATTAAAGTTTTCCATTGTTCATGAAGTCCAAGTTCAAAGAGATTTTCCTTAAAATTAAATGAAAACATCGGTAGTTAGCCCTCTGTGTATAGGAGGCCTCACATCCAAAGTAGCAGCGTTTCAGACTTTACATCAGATTGTGGCTGTAGCTTATAATGATGCCTAAATTGGCAAGCTATGGTTTATAAACCACTGAATCCAAATTGAAAACATTGATTTGAAGTGAGCTTAAAAATATGATTTCCATAACCTATGTTCTGAAGTAATTTCCCAGTTGACAATCATTATGGCTATTTCACCTATGGTAGAAGCCACTGATTGCACCAATGGAAATGATTTTACAGTCCTGAATAGATTAAAACTTAAGAGGAGACAAACCTGAATAGAGTTGAACAGTTTTTTTGAACCAGAAGTTCTCAGCCAGGGGGACATGTCATAGTCTAGGTAGGACATAATAGGAATACTTTTCTTTTTTTTTCAGTCCCCATGTACACTTTGCCATTAGAAGTACTTTGTCATTAAAATAGAAGTACCCTTAAAATCAAAAAGCACTCTTTACTATTTCTACTCACCTTTTAAAGGCTGCAGTCTGTTATTCTGGGTTCAGCAACAGCTTTGGCCAATAGAAACACCATCAGCCTATGTCTTGATATTCATCATGAATATCATCAGCACTTCCCAAACACCAAAGTCAGGGACAAATATGTCCTAGTATCTTGGCTGAGATTAATAAGACAAATTCCCTCTAATTAGTACTCTCTTTTTTGGTGCATTCACTTGCAAGACATTCATTTTCCTGAAGCTTTGTTCTTGCCTCATCTTTCACAATTGGGAAAAGTGAGGATCAAGCAAAGGTGCTTTGATGTGCAGCAAGATGCCCATGTCAATGGAATGTCGGAGTATAAGAAAGGACAAGTATGTACTGTAGTAGAGCACAGTTTACTGTATGACAGGACTAACCTTTTATCCATTTGTGTCATATTGTTCCTAATAGTCCCACCCTTGGGGCAAAATATGGCCCAGTTCCTCCATCCTGTGGATTCCAACAGCAGTGATGTTCACTCTCTTGTTTTGTACTATGGATGACCTTGTTGGTGGGTGTCCCATGAAATTCTTTGTTTCTCTTTTCTTATTTACTGCAAGATGCATAATGTGCCATAGGTCTAAGTACATCAAAATGGCATGTTCTTAACATCATTGTCACCTGTACTTTGGATTGTTTTGTTTACAAATGTGATTACGTTCCTAACTTCCTTAATTGTGTCAGAGCTTAATTTCCACCAGTCAGCTGAAAATAGGACAGACTGCTCTGATCTGTTAGCTTTAGGAACCCAGTCTGATTGTGGTTTAGATGCTTAATTAAAAACAACACTCTCTCTGCCCCATTTTAGTTTACTAAAAGCTTCCAATGAAGCAAGCTTTGCTTTAAAGAATGGAAGCTGATCTATACATTATCAAGGTGGGGTTTTATCTCTCTATCTCCTCTCATACGCACATTGGTTTATGTACACATATGTGGCTTGGCGGCATCTCATATGAAAAACCACAAGTCTCAGACATCTTGAAAAAGTAATAAGAGTCAACAGAATATTATGACGCACATTCTTTTCTTTCTTTTCAGTGAACAAAACCACAAACACCTGCAACTCCTGCAGATTGAGTGGAGTTGTAGTTGGCATGATTTATTATTAAAGCTAACATCAGTTGTTAGTTTGACATTGTCTATGAATTACCCAGAACATTTATTTTAAACCTCTGTTTTTAACATCTGTTTAGCACATAGATATGATAACCATCTTACTAACAACCTCTGTGATTTTTGAAAACAAGTTTATTTATCTTTTGGAAGAATATGTTGGAGAAAAGTTTATCAGGGGATTACCTACCTCCTCCTCTCCTTGTTTGTGATGATGATACTGAGATTGTTCTGCATTTAGTAAACTTTTGTTCACTGAGTAGGTGTCACAACATAAATATGCTTCCATTCTGACAGCACTGAATGTCCCTTCATTGTATTTTCAAATACAGTTTAGTTGGTGCTTTTATCTGACATGTCTTATAAATGATTTGTGCATCTGTCCTGGAGGAGTGAAATAAACCCTTTGAAAAAGATTCAGCTACTTGTGGGTTTTATATTACAAGTGTAAGGAAAGTGTGATCCTCAATGTTTTTGTTGTTGCTCCCATCAACCCCCACCAGCATAGTTTATAATGCAGATGATTGTGAACCATTGACATTTTGGGGGCAAGAGAGGTTTTCCATTATTTTGTACAACACAATTATTCTTAGGCTCTGTACCTGTTTGTGATAACAAATCGTCAGCCGCCACCCTCTTTTGCTGTACTGTGCAATACGGATTTTCACCTGCAAGTTGTTTCAAGTTATTTGCAAACTCTGTCTGAAAGATAGGGCCTCCTTGACTAGTAAAATGTCCTTGAGAAATAGTTAATGATTTTCATTGTTCTTATCAAAGCATGTGATAATAAGTTATAAATTTTAATGTATTATCTTCACTTTACAGACCTGCACTAGCCAAGCTGTCTTTCGTCTTCAATCTGGCATTTGCCAGCTTTTTCGAGAAACTTTGATTAAAAAGGGGTTTGTGGAAATACAAACTCCAAAGATTATTTCTGGTATGTACTTGTTTCCACTGGATTCAGATAAGTTCACACTTTGGAGGCTGTAAATGTGTCTGAGTTGTTCGATGGGCACTTATCACTCAGGCTAGAAGCATTAACTGATTTTAAGTCACTGATTATAAATTGAAACGTTTTTAAAGCTGAGTCGCTCATTCAGAGGACTAGCATTTTCTTTTCTCTGTTGAAAGGAAGAAACTTTCAGTCTACCCAAGTTATTATTTAGCTATTGTATTTCCGTTTTCAATCTTTTAAATAAAGCTGTATGAAAGCAGTGAAATCTTGTCCAATTAGTGTTCCAAGTTGACCGTAGCATGCCAAGTTGTGTGCCTTGTGAATCCAAGGACCCCAATATGAGACAAAATAATTAGAATTTTGTTGAAACACGGATTGCATCATCTTCATGCTTAACAAGTTGCCTGAATGTCTTGTGTCATATTCCTTCTGTACCGGAGAGTTGGGTCTGTGCCACAGAAAAGAGGAGCAATTTTGCTTTGAGTTTGGGAGATATCTCCATTAAAGGCTTCTGTAGAAGACATGGACCATTGACAAAATGCAATGGAACTGAGTGAGATAAGTTAAAAGTGATGGAGATTACAATTTCACCATGGAAGAAGAGGCATAAAGGTTAATTAAGCATGTCTAAAAATTATTAGGCGAATTATGGTTGTGTGTTAAACTTCAAGGAATCAGAGTAAAATAAAGAATGTGCGCTTTGTTTACACCTTCTTTATTGTGCTTTGTATGACTTTGCTTGGACAGATAATTCAGAAACATGCTGCTGGGTTTCCCTTGCTTCATATATACCATTTCCTTTGTTTTTCAGCTGCTAGTGAAGGTGGTGCCAATGTATTTACTGTTTCATACTTCAAAAGCAATGCCTACCTTGCACAGTCCCCACAGCTCTATAAGCAGATGTGTATTTGTGCTGACTTTGACAAGGTTTTCTGCATTGGTCCAGGTAAAGAAAGTTATTCATTCCTTTTTCTCCCCCCCCCCCCCCCCAACCTTAATTACAAATGCAGCCATCTTGTCTCTGGAGCAGACGTGCTCTAAATGTTAGGACTATGAGCATGTTAAGCCTTGCAAGGCCTTTTCCTTTCTAATCTGCAAATCAAACAAAAGTTTCATGCAAAGTCTACTAATCCATGTGGCTGCTTGACAGGGCTTGCAGGCGGAACAAATGTAATATTCAGCTGAAATAAGACCCTGAAATATGAACAGAGTGATGGTGTTCTCTAGTGGCTGTCGAAGTGTCATACAGCAATTTCTGGCTGGAAATGTGATGACTGGCTGGATGATTGCATTTTCAGTGAACCTAAAGCAAACCTACCAGCTTGACTGTACTACAGTTTCTTAATACACATTTGCTAGAAAATGTGCATTTTAAACAACACTGTGCAGATATATTATTGTGTGCTGGGTTTTCCCCCCAAATCACCTAAGTTCAGTATTAGTAATGTAGATGTTTATGTTCTCTCCATGTTTCTATAGAAGCGCTCCAGATATAGGTTACTGGGAAATTATGCTCTCCCTTCTATGACAAGAGAATAGGTTCACCTTCATCCAGCACCTCCTACCCTAGATCTCTCAGTACCTTCAGCTCATTATATGAATTAATTGATACAAAGACTCTAGAAAATTGCTAACATAATCTAAAAGACAGTGAGCAGGTAATTATGCTGAAAATGGAAAAACCCTGGTTCCTGTAAGAACTGGAGTAATGTGGAATACACAAACTATTTAAGGCATTTTCACCATCTTTTTAGGTTTCACCAATCTCCTTATTGGCTTAAATGTTTGGCAAAATATACTAAAAGATCTGCACAGCTCTTTGAAAGAAATATGATCCTCAGCACCCATGTTTTCCAGTGATCAAATTAATTATTTCTCTTTTATATACATATACTAATCTACTGAGCTCCCAGTGGTGCAGTGGGTTAAACCTCTGAGCTACTGAACTTGCTGACCGAAAGGTGGGCGGTTCAAATCCAGGAAGCTGAGTGAGCTCCCACTGTTAGGCCCAGCTTCTGCCAACATAGCAGTTCAAAAACATGCAAATGTGAGTAAATCAATAGGTACCGCTTCAGCGGGAAGGTAACGGTGCTCCATGCAGTCATGTCGGCCACATGACCTTGGAGGCGTCTACGGACCACGCCGGCTCTTCAGCTTAGAAATGGAGATGAGCACCACCCCCCAGAGTTAGGCACGACTAAACTTAATCTCAAGGGGAAACCTTTACTTACTAATGTTCATGCTTCTGATATCTATGGAATTAGTATTAGCCTGATTGTCTTCATGACAAGAGTTATGCTCTCTCTGATATTATTCCACTTCTTGTTTAGTGCACAGTCCCCAAACTAAAAGCATTTGAAACTACTGAATGACTAATTTTTAAGGATTTACTGATATAATTCAGTTGCAGAAGAATCTTAGACACTTGATTTTCTAGATTTTTTAAAATATATGCATTGAAACTGAATTGTGAATTATGTTCTCTTGTTTCAAAAAGTTATGGAAGATGGTTGTTTAAAATCCAGCATTGCTTTCAAATGCAGTTTATACTAGCAATGATAAGAAAAGGCAAAAGTGAGAGTTATTACCAGAGCATTAACAGGTCATCAATATTGATAGTTGAAAAACTCTGACAGTAGAATTCTGCTTCCAATAAGAAATTATTTTTCAGCTTGCTTTTAGAGTCTCTCTGAGGCTGGCTTCAGTAATACTAATAAATAAATATATGATGATAGAGCAATTTATAAAAATGTTTTTTTCTCATGTAGTATTTAGAGCAGAAGACTCAAACACTCATAGACATCTGACAGAATTTGTTGGTCTGGATATTGAAATGGCCTTTAATTACCATTATCATGAAGTGGTGGATGAAATTGCAGACACCATGGTGCAAATATTCAAAGGTCTTCAAGAAAGGTAAAATGAAGTGCTTCATACTGCTATAGAAATGAAGGAGGAAGATGTTATAAAAGTAGTAGGCAGTATAGCTTACGCATTGACAGGCAAAGGTATAGTTAGTGCCTGTCTTATACTTCCAATATTGTTGGATGGGAGAAATTCTGTACCATTAGTGTCAGTCACAGTGCAGCAAGTCACTGTATGGATGGACTACAAGCAGTAATATGAGAGAAATTTTGCATTACCTATTTGGGACAGATAGAGTAAATATGGGTCTTCTTTTTAGTCTTTGTATATATCTCAAAACATTTCTTCAGCTGTAAACTGTCTGTATCTTATGGACATACCTGAGCGATTTTTGACACTACGGTTAATTGAGATGCAAACATCCTCTTCTATAAAAGAACAAAATTAGAAGAGATCCTTCTTTTTGTACCTCAACACTAGAGATTGGTGTAATCGACCAATTGATTTTAATCCACCAATATCAATTGATTGATATGTTCAAAACAAGCACAAAGATGAATTTCTCCCTTTAGTAGAGAATTAACAAACACATTTTGTTGCTGTTGCGAGAAAGTGTTAACATGAGAAAGGATTGGACGGACACATGAGCTGGACTTTCCTGGCTGAAATCTCTAACAAATTCTTTATTATTTTAAATTATATGCCTTAAAAATTTAATAAGATAAGACTTTGGTTTACTTGCTGTGCCATCAGCCTCCTATTGGCTCTTTTTAAAGACAGAACCTACTTGGCAAGTGCAATTTCTTCATAATTGTTTTATGTTTGTGTTTATCCAAATGGAATGTATTTAGTATGGTATGAATTTTCGCATAATTCTTATAAAGTTTAAACTGCTTAGTTACTTACAGGAGAATGTATAGTATTTTTTCACATATATAATGTCACACGTTAGTCACATTATCTCAGAGTTATCCTTCCTTTTGCAGCAGGAGGAATAAAAGTAGACGGTTGCATGATGTCAGAGTGAGCTCTTGTGGCAAAGGATGGTACTGTCTTTCTCTTTGGTGCTCTTCCTTCGCTGAAAATCCTCTTCTCTGTATGCAGGTTTCAAACTGAAATCCAGACTGTGAACAAGCAGTTTCCATGTGAACCATTCAAATTCTTGGAGCCAACTCTGAGACTGGAGTTCCCCGAAGCTCTGGCCATGCTTCGGGAAGCTGGAGTAGAAATGGGAGATGAAGATGATCTCAGGTGCAATCATACTTGGAGGAGCTAGCACCACCTATAAGCAATTTAGGTGTAACTAGATCTGATATAATCGTGTGGCATCTCTTAATCAGGATTCTTACTTAAGCTTCTATTTTTGCAGTATTTGTTAGTTTTATGAATTGCTATATACTGTTCACATGCACAGAATAGCGCTTCAATAGGAATAATCAGGAAGGAGAGCCACTTTTACAAAAAAACCTATAACTATGGAGTATTTCCATTTGAAATTGCACATAGAGCAAGTTGAAGAAAAGAAGTGGAACAAGCAGAGTTCAACTTGAACCCTTAGTCAGTTAGAAGTAAATATTTCTGTAATGCATGCATATAGTTTTCAAATAATGAAGACACAACTCCAGGCAAATTAGTGGTAGCATTTTCCTTCCTTTTTAGGTTCTTCTCTTTTCTCTATAAGTATATGTTATCTTAAGAACAAGCCTCTCTTCAAAAGGAAATGGTACAGCATTTCCTTCCATGATGTCGCATATCTACATACCAAGTTGAAAGAGTGTCATCCAGGAGTGAATAAAATAAAACAAAACACACCTACCTTTAAGCCCCTTCCCCAGCAAGCATATCTAGCGAATTTTTCAAAATTTAGCACGCGTTTGCCAAAATATGGTCAATAAAAATGTAAATGTTCAAAAGGTAACCCATCAAGTTTTAGGTGCCATAAAGTTTCACAGACATGCAAAGTGAGGGCCAGACATTTCTCAAATCTGACCCTGAGTATCTCTGTTTTCAGTACCCCAAGTGAGAAGCTTTTGGGTCGTTTGGTGAAAGAAAAGGTAATGCTGTTTTAATCTTGGTAACTCTGTAATGTAGCATTAACATGTTCTAACCAAATTTATTAAGCAGTACTAGCCACACAAATATTTTGTATTTATTTTAGCATATCATGTTGTATACTAAAAAGAATATTATTATAGGATTCATGTGGCATACATTTAACTTAAGCATATTGGATTTAATTGGGAATTATGTATCTTGAATAGTTTTCTTTGTCCAAAGTGAAGAGTAGCATGAAACTTGCCATGCTTATATGTATGTTTCACAAAATCCTTTTCCTATTTAAAAGAAAATGTTTCATTTTATTAATATTGTTTGCAGTATGACACCGACTTCTATATTCTTGACAAATATCCACTGGCTGTAAGACCTTTTTATACGATGCCAGATCCAAAAAATCCTGTAAGTAAAGTCCTGTATTTCTCATTACTGTGAAATATCTTATGAATCCATTGCTGAATAGTTTACTTTCAACTGTCAGTATGGGGTATATACTCCAACTGCACCATGAGCATGTAGCAAGTTTTTGGTCTTTAATTTTGTGTTAAAGGGGTTTGGATCACTCCCTTAAACTCTGAATTGTTTACGTTAACCCTGTTTCCAAGCAGTGATCTTACAGCATATTTATAGGCTAAAGGTTATACGAGCAATCCCTAAAGCAGGTCTAAGGTTCATTTGAAAGAAGCATATTACAAGTAATAACACCTATGTACAGAAGTTGATTGTAAATGATATGATTATAACTGTATTTGTGTTTGCACTGGTTGCCCTAATGCTGGAGCGGCCTAGCTGTGAGGAGTGTGTTACCATGGAAACGATGCTGTAGAGAAGTGGGAGGAGCTTAGAGAGGAGAGTTTTGAAAAGCGACAGTTAAAATCAGTTGGGGGTTTAGGCTCAGAGAAATGAAGAGCCAGGTTTTAGGCTCAGGGAAATGAAGTGTTGAGAGAGAGAGTGGGAAGTAGAGAAGCAGTGTTTGTGAATAGTCAGAGGTTTCTTCAGTTTAGGAAGGCTGAAGGGGAAACCTTATTAGTTTCATTAGTTAGAGAAGACTAATAGAAGCTTGTTTAGATCACTAGTTAAAAGTGAACTAGAGATCTGAGGTTTGATCACGGAAGGATCAAACAGGAAGACTATTCACCTCAGGAACCATTGTTTAATAAAGTGCTTCACCACAGCAAAAGTTATTGATAAGTTGTAACATCAGAAGTCTGTACTGTATCGCAACCAAGTTATATGTAACGTTCTCCAAGTATCTTCCAAGTTTATCACCAAACTGCAACCATACGCTTTGTTTCAAAATAAACTTGTTCTCTTTGATTTTAAGACTGCCTCATCTCCATTAATTCTGCGTTCAGTGTGCCCAATCTCCCAAAATTACCTCACATCACAAATTGGTGGCTCCATTAAGAATAATAAATAATAAATCGTAACTTCTCTCTCCTGAAACCCTTTTTCTTTGAAGTGGGGCAAGCCCTTTGCAACCTATATTTATACTTTCTTTAGATACTTCGTTACCGTTTTTAATTTATATTGTTTTTATGAGGACGAGGGGCTTGCTGGAGATGTAAGAAGGTGAAGGGATTTTTTTCCACATATGGTGGACCTGTAATATAGTTCAAGAATTCTGGAAAAAAGTGGTGAAAGAAAAAAACAATATGATTAACAAAAAGGTCAAGAAAAACCCGGAAATCTATTTAGAAGGTGTATTGGCACAGGAGATGAAGAAATTTGTCAATATTCCTTTGTTGCTGCAAGACTAATAATAGCCAAAACGTGGAAGGAAGAAAAAGAGTTAACTACTAAAGATTGGAGAGATAAATTAGTAGATTATATCCAAATAGCCAAACTGACAAATAACAGCAGAGGAGGAAATAATGAATAGCAAAAATGGAGGCTGGCACTTGGGTATCTGGAAAGAAGGCAAAGGTAGATTTGAAGATTGTCATAAAGGGGATTTATTGAAAAAAGACATATGGGTAGTTGTGGGTTAGTTATGTGATCCATACTGAGGGGTGTTGGAGGTCATGTGGGTTGGGTTCACAGGTGTGGGGTTAGAGGGACAAGAAATGCTAAGGTATAATAACTGTACAGCCACATTTGATTTTTCACCTATTTAACTGACTGTATATTAACTGTATACTATTTTGCAAACTTGCCTGCTTTTTTATATATCTTTTTTATATATCTTTTTTCTTTTTTTCCTTTTTTCTGTGTTTTTTTTGGGGGGGGGTCTGTTGTCTACTTTGTTTCTTGTGTACACTATAAAACAATAAAATTTACACACACCCACACATGTTAGCCACCTTGAATCCCATTATTGGAAGAAAGAAGGCTAGAAATGAATAAAATAAATAAATGTTAATTTCCAAGATAATAAGAACAACACCATTACAGCTACCATGTAGTGCTGGAGTTGTCACAGAAAGGAATCCATGTTTATTTGTATGAATTAGAGCAGTGGTTCTAAACTTGTGGGTCCCCAATTGTTTTGGTCTACAACTTCCAGAAATCCCAGCCAGTTTACCAGCTGATAGGATTTCTGGGAGTTGAAGGCCAAAACATCATGTATTAGAGGGATCAAAATGTTTATTGTGCTTATCTTAGCTCTCTCTTTGTGTTTTTATAGTCCTTCAGAATGAAACAATACAATATAGTTCTCCACTGATTACTTAAAAACAACAACAGACCTCATTGCTGTTGAAAACAGTGCAGAACCTTGACCTCTGCTGCCCACATCATTCAGGATTGGACTCACCAATGTAGTGCAGTAGCCATTGAATATTGGACTAGGATTCTGGGTGACCAAGGCTTGAATCCTCAGTCAGCCATGAAAATGCATTGGGTGACCTTGGGCACCTTGTACTTTTTCAGTCTCGGATGAAAGCAGTGACAAATATCTGAACTAATTTAGCCAAGAAAACTCAATGATTGGTTCAGCTTAGGGTCTCCATAACTTGAAACAACATGAAATCACACAACGAGCCCGACACACACAACTGCATAATACGTTAGGCTTAGGGCAGTGATGGTGAACCTATGGCACAGTGCCCTCTCTCCTGGCACACACACCATGACTCACCATCCCGCTCTCCTACCCCACTCCCCACTTGCCTGTCCCTGCTCTGCCGCTCACCATCCCACTCACTCCCGCCCCTGCCCCATTTGCTCCCCCCCCCACTTGCCCGCCCTGTGTGATTTTACATTTGCACCACTCTTTTTAAAGACAATTTCACTCCCATTTGTTAAAGTAGTGTCTTTTCTTTATTTTCAGAAAACATCCAACTCCTACGATATGTTCATGAGAGGTGAAGAGATTTTGTCTGGTGCTCAGCGAGTTCATGACCCACAGCTGCTGACTGAAAGAGCCATGCATCATGGAATTGGTAATACCTCAATTATAGCTGCTTACTGATAAGATGTGTATTCAGCTTTTAAAAATGGATTTCCAGTTCAGTGCATGTGATCAGGTGGGGAAGGGATCTGAAAAGCTCAAAATAGAGACCTTGGTTATTTATGTGGAATGTTGTGTGGGTGCTATTCTAATACACGCGTTGGCTGATTGGGCTTAATAGCCAATAAAAGCAGTATCTGTCAAATTGTTCTTTCATTGTCCAGCAGAATATCATTTTAACAGGATTTTAGCTATAGGCAATGGCTCTATGAAAACTATCCATAGGTTCGTGTTCTGTAGAATGTCCCAGACTCACTATGAGTATACTTAATGCAGGCTTAGATATAGGAGATGTTCAAAAAGTGGATTGGGATACCACTAGACCAGTGGTTCTCAACCTATGGGTCCCCAGGTGTTTTGGCCTACAACTCCCAGAAATCCCAGCCAGTTTACCAGCTATTATGATTTCTGGGAGTTGGAAGCCAAAACATCTGGGGACCCACAGGTTGAGAACCACTTCACTAGACCTTCAGGCCAATCATTTCCTCATTTGATGAGTGTGTAGCTGTTGATGGTATTGCAGAAGAGGGATCCAAATAGATTTTCCTAACTAGTAAAATCTCTGAGAAAATAAATGTGGACACAGGGATTGTTTTTTCCCTATAACAGGGAAGTGAAATATATGGTCCTCAGATGTTGCTGGCTTGAAATTTCTATCAGATATGTCCAGACATTGCCAGTGGTGAAGGCTAATGAGATTTGAAATCCCAGCATATGTTACCTATCCCTGCTCTGGAGCAATATCTTCCTGTGTAGCCTTTAAGAGAGATTTCTCTTTTGAGAGAGTTTTAGATTTCTTTGCATTATTTGTGTAGTGTCTTTTAAGGGAAAAAACCCATCTGATTATTTCTAAATTGAGTAGTTTCCATCCTTCCTGCCTCCCATCCATCCATCTTTTTAAAGTGTGTGTATGCTTTAAAGGGCAACAAGCTTAACAACACATGGGTTGCTAGCATTGGATTTGTGCTTTAAAAACATTTAGGTTTTATGAGAAGAAGGCTTAAAGCAGTCTTTCTTTTGAATAGTATTGGTTCTTCAACTATAAATTGGTGTTTTTTGCCCTATGATGCTAATAACAGTTGGGACTGAACAAAAGTGAATTACTTTCTTTTCAGATTTGGAGAAAATCAAGGCTTATATTGATTCCTTTCGCTTTGGGGCCCCTCCCCATGCTGGAGGTGGCATAGGTAATGTCACTTTTTTATTCTTTTCCAGTCTTTTATTATATTAGATAGAAGAGCGCTGTTTTGATTAAGATGGTTATATATTTGAGCTGAATTTAGAGAATTAAGCTGGATTTGCACAGGAAATTATTTACATTGAGAAATGTTATCTGTGTTTTTCTATTTCCCACTCCCAGAGCATTTAATGACAAAGAAAGGAAACAGTAGTCTGTCTAATGGGCACATAGTCCTTCTGTTATGTCCGATAATGCTATATTGTCTAGAATTGTAGGTGATGGTGCTCATTTGAGGCAGCCCCTTCCCCCTAGTTACAATCAGTTTGAGACATGATGGCCAAGGTTCTACCACTTGGGCAGCTGAACATCCTACTCCTCTCTACCAGTAGTTATCAAGCCCTTTTTACCAGCGGGAGATGAGTTGGGGAGATGATTCAGACCATGAAGAAGCAGCTAGACCAGGCGTGGGCAAGCTTGGCCCTCCAGATGTTTTGGACTAGTAGACTGTTAGGAATTTTGGGAGCTAAAGTCCAAAACACTGGAATGCTGAAGATTTCCCATGCCTGAACTAGACTGATCCTGGTGAGGGAGTGGGACAGAGCACTCATGGATAGCTGGAGGGTGCCCTCCTTCTCCTTCCCCCAGGAGCCCAAAGCACTCATGCCTTAATGATCTGAATTGCTTGCCCCCCTTCCCACCAGTAGAAGGAACAACATCCCTTTCCAGGGCTTGATAACTGCCTGGGAAAAGAAGTTGTGATATGGAGAGAAGAGTAAGATAACAGTCTTATAGAATTGGGTTTGCAGCTATCATTTAATGTGATCCTGTGAACAAAATGTGAGTTTCCTAATTACATTTATTTATTATTTATTTGAAACATTTATATTCCATCCTTCTCACCCCAAATGGGACTCAGGGCGAAGCACAACATATATCCGGCAAACATTCCATGCCGGGACATAAAATTACTATAGATATACACAAATCAGTTCTATCTACTTCAAAATTAGTTGTTTGAAACCATCTCAAAACACCATGCTGGCGGAGTGGGTTTCGTATTCTTGCCTTATTGCAGTGTCCCAAAGGCTTAGTTCCACAAGGACTGAAGGGAGGGAGCTGATCTAATCTCGCTAGGGAGAGAGTTCCATAGCCAGGAGGCAATAGCTGAGAAGGCCCTATCTCGCCTCCGCCAAACGCACCTATAATGGTGGCGGGATTGAGAGCAGGGCCTCCCCAGTAGATCTTAGTCTTTGCGGTGGTTTGTAAAAGCAGATGCATTCGGACAGGTAAACTGGGCCAGGGCCATTTAGGGCTTATAAGCCAAAGCCAACACTTTGAATTGTGCCCAGTAGCAAACAGGCAGCCTGTGGAGGTGACATGGGAGTTGTGTGTACATCCTTGTGCTTTAGTACTAATCAGGAGAAAGAAGTGGAAAGCAGATATATTGGGTGAGAGGATACTACCCTCTGGATCCCTGCCACTTCCTTTCCCCCCAAACTTGGTTTTGTACTAGTCGTGCCTGCCTGACAGGGATAAAGAGGCATCTGGGGATGTTTCCTTTTACCCACCAGTGGTCATGAGCTAACCAGCTGCTCTGACTGCCATTTGCCTTCAGTAGTGCTGAAATCCATTGTTATTAATATGCCATCCTATTTCCCAAAGTGATGAAATTAATGTAAGCCAAAGAGAGTGGATCCGTCCTCTTTTCTCTCTTGTGCTTTGGCTGCAAAGAAGAAAGATCAGAAGCTTTCACTTTAGGTTTTGATTAACTACTACTTTTATTTAATCAAAACCTGACTAACTGCTGTTGGCCTGTTTACAATCCAGTGGGAAAATTATTTAGTGCTGTCTTATTGCAGAATCTACAGCTTCATTATGTGACCTTTTCCCTTTTATTTGGATTCCACTTTAATTTCCAAATCTGCATCCAGTGGAGTGCAGAAATGGACAGTTTTAAGGGCATTAAGAATTCTCCACATTAAGAGTTCCTCTATTATAGAAGGCCAAGGTACAAACTCCAGGATACAAACAAGTTAAATCATAGTGCTAGAACTGAAAAGAACTTACGTTGTGTCCACATTTTAAACAGTAGCTTCATATTTAATCCACTTTAAGTCATAGAAGGTTTTTCCTCATAAATAATAACCAAAAAAAATCAAACAAATAGGTTTTGCTGTTGGATGACTTTTGCCTGTAACATATGGAGATTAAAAATGTTGCATGTCATTTTTTTCAAACCATGATGCAATGAAACAGAATATTGTCATCAGACCTGATCCTCTCCACCTCCCCCTCCCCCCATTGGGGTCAGGAAGTTCATATTTTATTTATTTTATTTTGGCTAGTTTTATTTTACATTTATTCTACCTTTTCCTGGCTTTGGGTGAAATGCACATGATTCTGTGTACATGCATACTTTTTTGGATGTGAGACATTTTTTTGTATCCTATATAGCAGTGGTTCTCAACCTATGGGTCCCCAGATGTTTTGACCAACTCTCAGAAATCCTAACAGCTGGTAAACTAGCTGGGATTTCTTGGAGTTGTAGGCCAGGGCACCTGAGGACTCACAGGTTGAGAATCCCTGCTATGTAGACTTCATTTCTTATTGGAATCAGACAATGCCTTGTAACTCACATAGTGCACATTTGAAACATGAAAAAGAAGCCAAAGTTTGAGTGCCATAGCTGCATTTTATTATTCTTTGGGAAACTCCTTTTCTGCATACACAAATGTGTATACTTTGTCCTCCAGTTAATCAGATTGTATTCCATTTTGACAGGGTTGGAAAGAGTCACCATGCTGTACCTTGGGTTGAGTAATGTCCGGCAAACATCCATGTTCCCTCGTGACCCAAAACGCCTAACGCCTTGAAAGGACTGAAGGCCTGCATTTAAGTTTATTCCTTGTCGTCATTAAGTCCTATCCTAAATGCAGTATGCACTGGGAGGACATTTAATCTACTGAAGTGCCAGAATAGTGAATGTTTAATTCACATAATTACTAATATTTACAGTTAACCATTTTAAAATAACTGAACTATGATCTAAAAATGTTGTATCTTTTTCAGAATATGCACTTGGTCAAACTAAAACTCCTATTTGTCATCTTATACTTTAGCAAGTTTCTAAAAATTTAAATTGTAATAAAATTCATATTTTACAGAGTAAGGTTAAATTTGTTTTTAGACACTTGACAGAAAAGCATGTTTCAAATGTAAGAGATGATCAGGTATGAGTAAATTTGGAAATGAGTAATTATTTTGAGGAGCAACTGGAAAATAGTGGATTAACTGATTAAATGTGGATTAACTGAAATGCAGGTAGCAATAAAACTTCTTAACTACCTATTCTGTGTGTCTCATTTTTCAACACTGTAGGTCATGCAGAGATTCTCGTTTATCTGGTACCTTTTCTATGCCTCAAATTCAAACTGTTTACTTATATCTAAATTAGCAAACCCACAAGTTGTTTGCAGCAGTAGTGATTTACCTTATGAAGGATATAATGAATGTAATCTTGACTCAGTCATTCAGCTTTTTGTATCACTTGAGTGACCAGCCTTACTGATGCAGGGCTGATGAAGGTAAAATCAAATTATACCTCAGTTGTGCTATTTGGCCTTCTCAAAAGAGGAGGGGGATATAAATGTGACTAAGAATAATTCAATTAGGTTTCTATAGTTCCATATATTACTAAAGTGATCATATTTTTTGCTTGGTTGGCTTCATTAGAAAGCAATATAACTATCGTATATGGTGAGTGAGCGTGGGACAAAGCAAAAGAATATTGGAGATGGATACAAAATTGGCAACAAGAGATATTTAAAATCAGATTACAATTAGATCCAACATTATTTTTACTGGGGCTTCCAAACAAATGAACAAAAACCATGAAGTAGCGCATATTACAGAACCAGCATCACCCACTTCCGGTGGGTGATGGCGATGGGAAAGCTGCATTGAGAGGGAGCTCCGATGCAGACCAGCGTTGAGGCGCCTTAAGGGTGAGATTAAGCTCCCCCACCATCACCAGATTGAGTGTGAAGGTGTAGAGTAACCCGTGGGAGGCTCGTAGACCCCAAATACTCCCTTCCCTCAAGGAGGGGGGTAAAGAGGGTCCGAGCCGACGGGAGAACAGGCGCCCCGCTGGGATCGGGCATTGACCCGTTTCAACCGCTGCCAGACCATGCAACAAATACGAAGAAGAAATTAAGAAACTCAAAAGAGAAATTAAAGAATATCTCAACATCAGGTAAAAGATTTGAACAGAAGAGGAGAAGGAAGGAAGAAGATAGATAAGGAGACAAAATCAAGGGGGAATCTTTCCCCCCCGAAATTTAAAGCTATATTTTAAAACCCGGAAAGGGTTATTGTGAATAGATCAATTTGGATAATACTTATCAAATTACATAGTTACTCGCCGCTTATTGATTTATTTTGGCTTAGAAAATTAACTAAACAATATTAATTAAACTAAATTAAAATAAGCATTTGGAAGACAGGGAAACGAATGAGATAAACTGAAAGAAGTGAGAAGATATTATAGGCTGTGAGAGTCCCCCTCCTCCTGCCCCCCCGATTCCCTTATCCTCCCACTCAGCCTAGTAGTTAACGAAGAAGGAAAATTCCTGACCTTGGCGCCATATTGTTGTGTCTAACTGGCACTCTTCTTTATAAACAAAAGGAAAGGACAAGGCAGGAAGTGACAAAGAGGAAGTGACGAAGAAGAAGGCTGTGGGAGGAAAGGGTGGAGAAACAAAGAAAGGGCGGAAGAGCTTCAAGAAGGGCGGAAGTTGGGAGGAGGAAGTTGGAACCATAGAGAAACCATAGAGAAACCATAGAGAAACATCGCTACAGAGCGGCAGAGCGGCAAATACAGTGTAAATCCTAAACAAATAGATATTTAAGGACAACAGTGGCTGAAGGATAGAGAAGAACATCGGGGATAAGAAGCAGACGTGGAGCTAGGACGAGAAGCAGATGAAATTCAAGGACGAGAAGCAGACGTGGAGCCAGGACGAGAAGTAGACGAAACTCAAGGACGAGAAGCAGACGAGACCCAAGGAAGAGAAGTAGACGTAAATAACAGAAAGAGGAGAAGAAGCTGAAATTAGAATAAGAAGGAATTGAACAGGAAAGTTGCAAAGACAGGAAAGAAAAAAGAATCAGAGGAAAATATAAATCAATTAATATTAATATAACTAAATTGGATTTAATGAATTTTTAAGGAATTGATCTACTCTATAATAAATTAGTTAGAAAATATTTGATGAATGAATTGATATAAGAAATTATTTGAAGAGAATAAAACAAAATTAAAATTAAAGTGATTGAGGAGGAATAAAACCAAATATTTGGACTAAAGGGATTAAAAGGTTATCCAGCTTAAAGATTTGGTTGGCAAGTTGATGTCAATGAAAGGAAAATCAGATAAAGAAAAACTTCAAGTAAGGAGAGCTTCACTAGATACCAGCTTAAGCATGGAGAATATACTTAAGGAAATTAAAAAACTATCGGAAAAACAAGATGCAACAAAGAAGGAGATGGTTGAAAAACAAGAGGAAATAAAGAAAGAGATGGTGGAGAAGCAGGAAGCACACTTTAATAAACAAGAAAAGAACTACAAAAAGCTGTCGGAAGAGTTTAAAGATATGAAAAAAGAGATGCAAGAAGAATTTGGCCAAATTAAAAAAGATATAACCCAGTTACACGGAGAAGTGAAAGAACTAAAAATTAGTAAAGAAAAAATAGAGGAAACACAATCTCAGATCTTGAGGAAGATTAAAGCGAGTGATAAACAAAAGGAAAAATTGGAAATAGAACAAGAAAAATTATTACAGAGACAAATGGATTACCACCTACGGTTTAGAAATATTCAAGAAGAAAAACAGGAAGATATTGCCCAGATTATGCAAATTTTAATTGCGAAATGCCTAGAGTGTGAAGATGAAGATGAATTGGAGCAGGAATTGGACCAAATTTATAGAATATCTTCATTCTACTCAAGGAAAAATAAGACAGCGAGAGACGTGATAGTCCAGTTTACGAGAAAAAAGACTAGGGATGAAGTTTTGTTCAGAAGTAATAAAAATCCAATATATTATAAAGAAACTAAGATTGCGGTTCTGAAGGAATTTCCCCAAGCAACTTTAAATAGAAGAAGAAAATACTACTTCCTTACGGATGAATTAAAAAAGAGGTCAATCAGATTTAGATGGGAAAGGATTGAAGGGATTATGGTAACATATAAAGAAGAGAGATACTGGTTGACAACAGAACAAAAGGCTAAAGTTTTCTATGATAATCTAATGAAAGAATCGGAAGGGGAGAAACAAGAAGGGAGAAAAGTAGACAAGAAAACTCTGACCCCTGGAAATGGAAATGGAAAAGAAAAAAAGAAAGCAAGGTTTGATTCTCCGGAAGATTATGGACTTACGAGTAGTGGACAAGGAAGTACAACAACAACATTTCACGATCTTGGAGAAGGTGCATACGGCCCAGAAGTAGCAGCGCAGAGGTTATCGGTTATGGATTTAGGCGACATTGGATTGGATACAGACACAGTTGAATAAAATGGCGGATCGACAAATTAAGTGTTTATCAAATAATATCAACGGTCTGAACTCACCCCAGAAACGCAAAAAAGTGTGGAATAAATTACAGAAAGCAAATTGGGATATCATCCTGCTACAAGAAACGCATATTTGCCACAAACATGTGGCTCATTTAGAAAATAAAAAATTGGGAAAGACATTTTATTCATCGGATGAAAAAAAGAAGGGTGTGGTAACATATATAAAGGAAAATTTAACACCAGAATTGGCATTCAAGGATTTGGAAGGAAGATGTGTGGCGGTAAAAATTCAACTGGGAAACTTAAAAATACTAGTATGTAATATATATGCGCCAAATGGCCCAAAGACTAAATTTATTCAATTTTTACAATCAAAATTGAGAGAAACGGAATTCGATGAACTCTTACTGATAGGAGACTTCAATGGTGTGATGGACAAACAAAAAGACAAGAATAAACTGCAAAAAAGGGGAGGAAACAGTGTTTTACCCCAAAAGTTTTTTGATTTACAAAAAGAATTTGAGCTGGAGGATACGTGGAGAAGAAAGAATGAGAAAAAAAAAGATTATACTTTTTATTCACATAGACATCAAACATGGTCAAGGATTGATATGGCATGGATAACAAAAAAATTAGCTACTAAAATTGTGGAGATGGAAATATTGCCTAGAGACGTTTCAGATCACTGTCCATTAGAAATACTAATTAATCATAAAGGTTTTCAAAGGAAATGGAGATTAAATGAAAATCTGATTAAAACGGAAGAAGACAAATTACATTATAATAAAATCGTTCAAGAGTATCTAGAAATTAATGACATTGAGGAGACAAAAATACAAGTGACTTGGGACGCCCTCAAAGCGGTTTTGAGAGGATGCTTTATTCAACATGGGTCCAGGAAGAATAAAGACAGAAATAAAAAAAATGAAAGAATTGATGAATAAGATTGCTAATAAAGAAACAGAGTTAAAAAAGAAACCACAGTGTAAAAAATTGAATAAAGAATTAGCGAGACTTAATCAAGAGAAGTCTCGCTTGGAAACGGAAAGACAAGCAAGAGAGCTGAAATTTTTAAAACAACAATCTTTTGAAAATGCGAATAGATCAGGGAAATGGTTAGCAAGACAAGTAAGAAAGAAGAAACAAACTACACAAATTACAAAAATAATATCGGGAGATAAAACTGTTACAACTGATAAGGAGATTATGGGAGAATTCATGAAATTCTACAGTAAATTATATACGAAAGATGGAATAAAGAAGGATGATATTACAGCATATATAGGCCAATTGAAATTGCAGAAAATTACAGAGGAAATAAGAGAAAAATTGAATAAAGAAATTATGGAAGAAGAGATTGAAAGAGCAATTAATAAAATGGATGCAGATAAAGCTCCGGGACCAGATGGATTTACAGCAGGATTTTACAAGTCAATGAAAAAAACTGTGGTACCAACATTAAAGAAAGTCTTAAACGAAGCATTAAACCACCAAAGAATCCCAGAAACCTGGAATCAAGCTGAGATAGTAATGATACACAAAGAAGGTTCAGCCCCGGAAGATATCAAGAATTATAGACCGATTTCCCTATTAAATGTGGACTATAAAATATTTACGAATATACTGGCGGCGAGACTAAAAGAATTTTTGAAAGATTGGATAGGGGAGGACCAAACAGGGTTCCTTCCCGGAAGATATATGAAAGACAATATCCGCACAGTATTGGATTTGATTGAATATTTTGAGGCGAACCACCAGAAAGAAATGGCTAT